GGTTTATTTTGAAAATAATAAATTTCACGAATGACCCGTATCCGGAAGTTCGCAGAATTCATTTTCGCGAATCTGCACTATTCTGCCATCTTGTATATGCCGTATTAAATTAATTTTCAAGGAATTTAATTTCGCAAATCTTGAAAAATCTGCAAAATTTGTTATCCTTGAAAATAACCCGCTATACGGTATCTCATCTCTCACTGTGATTATAATGACATGAAAGTGCACTAGCTGACAAAATTTTATTTACTTTCATCTTTATCAGTTGCTGACTGTAATTTCATAATTTCTGCAAAACTTTTCTCTTCACTTTCCTTCTGTTTCTGATAGGATGCTAACTGTATTTTAAGCTGTTGTATTTCTTCATCATGCTTTTGAATTTCTATTGTCTCCAGTAAAGATCCTTCTTGTATAAATTCTGTACAATAATAATAAATTGTATTCAAAATATGAATTTGTTTATGCTATTTGCTTCATATTATCTTTTTCTATTTTTTGTAACCATTAAATAATTATAATCATGTATGTTACCTTCTTCCTGAGATTGAAATAAAACAAGCTGCTCTTCCAATAATTCTTTTATTTCTTTCAACTTCTCATTTTCCTAGAGTAAGCTGTAACAATGAAATAGTTCAAATTCTCACTAACTTCTTCATGTTCTGTTAAATGTGATACTTTCTCTTGTAGTAACTGATTAGTCTCAGCTAGTAATGATGATGATGATGATAATAATAATAATGTAATGTAACAATGTGAATTGTTGAGTTAATGTTAATAATGCATGCATTAATGTAGACATACTTGCTTTTATTTTCAACTTCTCATTCTCTGATAGACTGGCTTTTAGCATCTTGATTTTAGTATCCAGCAATTCTTTACATGACTCTGCTTCTGTCTTCACTGCTATATTTTCCTATAAAATTATTCAAATGTAACTGTATAATCAAGAGTACATACTCTTGCTGTAACTGATACAAGATAATAAAAGTTACTGTAGACCTAGTATATACAATGTACTTATCTCTAATGTATTCCACCATACCTCATTTAAAGTAGTAACCTCCTCTGTACTATTAATGAGTTGTACACTCAATGACAGCATCAATTGTTTCATTAAACCACACTTAGAAGGAGTGGAGGTATCATTTACCTGTATTAACAAGTGTGCCGAGTCCAATAAATCAGTTCATAAATTAGTCTATTTACCTCATACACAGTGCAGTATCCAATGGTTAATCTCTTCACTTTGTTTTCTTTCAATACATCAATATTATTAAGAGCAGCTGTAATTAACTGCTCAGATAGAATCAAAGGGAAGGAACAAGTGATAGTGAAAGAATCACCATCTCTAATGACATTTAATTTGATATGTCGTGAAGAATTTTCAAATAAAGCTGACGAAATTCTTTGCACATCGTTAAACACTGATTCATTAGCGTCTTTATCAACAAAAATGGTAATCCTTTCACACTCAAGTGGTGAAGGATATGAAACTGTTTCATTCAGACACTGACTGAGTTTCATTTCCTTTAGCTCCTCAATAGCTTCTTTATATTCCTTAATAACTGGCTTAGCCTCCTCTATATTGAACTTGTTAACAAAAAACTCCAGCAAACTGATATCATCAAGCTGACAGTTATCACAAACTAATTCTAAACTTCACGGATA